CCATCTTCTGGGCACCAGGCAGATCAGAGCCAACTGGATGGCCAGCTGCCACCACCTGGGACCAGGCAGGTCAGAGCCAACTGGATGGCCAGCTGCCACCACCTGGGCACCAGGCAGGTCAGAGCCAACTAGATGGCCTGAAAATAAAAAAGCGGCTTACAGCCTTTCAGTTAACCTGCCAGCACACTAGGTAACTGGTTAGCTGTCTGTACACTGGCACACAATGGCCTGGGTTCCTTATGCTGGTTGCTGCACTTATCAGCTGTGTGATATTTGATGTGCTATCCAATTGTTCAAAACCTCAGTTTCCTCATCTGTAAAATGGGGATAATAGCACGGACCCTTTAGGTCACAACAAGGACTCCACAAGTGATCAAGAGAGTGTTTGCACATGGCCTATGTGTTACCCACAATTAACTAATGGCTACCTTGCCTAGACCCCCTCCCGCACCCTTTTTTGTGCCATTCTGTGTGTCCAGATGACATGCTTCTTTACTAAGGTATGACATTTGTTTCTAAACTGAGGTATTGACAGTGGAAATAACATGAGCCTCACATGTTCTGCTTTGGTGACAGTCCCAATTGAACCATCTAAGGTCATAGTCGCACAGGGCCTCACACTCAGGAAGGCCCCATACTTGGGGTTTAACGCTCTGTGACTGTTGACTTAAAATCTTTAATTATTCTATCTTTTGAATTTGTTGTGTAAGCATAGCCTGATGGGACCTTAGAGCATGTGCTAAGGGCTTGGCGCCTTGCTTCACATGGAATCCCATCTCTCCTTGCACCTCCACCTCACCAGGATGGTTATTGGCCTGTTGCACCTCTGTCCCTGCCCTGTGGTCGGTATCACCCAGAGGGGGCCTGGGCACAGATGCAGGAAGGCATGAGGCCCCGGGTGCCTGTGAGGGTCTGCACGAGTCCCACAAACATCCCTGTACCAAAGGGAGCACGACATGAAATGGCAAATAAAATGCACCATGACAGGCTGAGAGGGAGACAGTGGAGGAAAGGAAAAAGGTTTCTTCCTGCTTTGTAAACAAGGGGACCTCCATTTTCATTTTGTACTGAACCCTGCAAATTATATAGCTGGCCCTGTTTTTATCTGATGGTGTCCAAACCTCAGAAGTGACAGGGTACTAAGCCACTGTCAGGGAGTTCCTACTAGTATAGCCTTTGGGGGTGGAGGAGGTCAGAGCCTTACGGACCTACAAGTCCACTGCACTATCAGACACATGCACAAAGGTGCATATGTGAAAATGTTCCCCTGCATTATTTACATGTAGTATGAAACCAGCCGAGTGCCCAATGATGAGGGGGGATGAATGCGTGACCCAAACCCAGGGATCAGACGCACTATCACAATCATATCGTAGAAGAGGACTTACTGACAGGAGGAAGACTCATGATATTTGCAAAAGGGATAAAAAAGCAGTTACTGCCCTGGCTGGTGTAGCTCAGTGGATTGAGTGCGGGCCTGTGAACCAAAGGAATGTGGTTCAATTCCCAGTCAGGGCACATGTAGGCCAGTTCCCAGCAGGGGACCCACAAGAGGCAACCATACATTAATATTTCTCTCCTTCTCTCTTTCCCTTTCCTTCTAAGGATAAATAAATAAAATCTAAAAAACAAAAAAGCAGTTACCAAAAGGCCCACACTGCATGACTTCATTGTCATGGACGCATGGAGAATATATATGCGTGGGGAAAATACTGGGCTGATTTACACTTAAATGCTGACAGCTGTTCTCCTTAGGTGGGTGATTTTCCTCCCTTTTGAACACGTCTGTGTTTTCCAAGTTCTCTGCGTGGAGCATGCATCCCTGTTATCCTCGTGCAGAAGCACCACAGTGTGGAGAGCAAGGTGAAGCCAGCAGAATGTGGAGCCAACTGCCTGGGTCCAAAGCCCAGCTCTGCTCTTTATGAGCTCTGTGATCTTGGGCAACTGATTTAACTTCTCTGGACCTCAGTTTCCACACCTGTAAACAGGGAAATGAACGGTACCCTCCTCAAAGGGTCAAGGAGATTGAGTGAGTTAATATGCAAAGGGAGCTTACATCAGTCTAGCACATTACATGTAAGTGTTATTATAGTAAACAAGGGGAAAAGATGCAGAGACAACAATACTGCCAGTTATTATTTTTGGATAGTGCAAAAGTACATGGTTTATTACATGGTTTATTTTTCCTTTTGGATTTTTATGTATTTCTCAACTGAAGATGCATTACTTTTTTAACTTGAGAGAAAATGCTAATTAAAGAAAAGAAAGTGAAAGGGCAGTTTACTAAGTGGTATTGGGGAAAACAGGATAAAGTTGGGCTAGCCAAGTCTATGCTTTTCAGGCCAAGGTCATGTGTGGATTCCTGTTTGTCCCAGGCCCTTACTGCAGGCTTCCCCCCAAGGTTGTGCATCTTCTCATTCATAAAGAACCCAACATCTGGGAAATGGATATCAATGTCAAGCTATAGGCTCTTAAAATATCTATGTCTAAATCTCTCTAGACAGATAGATATAGATAGATCCATATATACAGATATATAGTCACATTTATATTTATCTATTGCTAGGGAATCTTTAACTATAACTATAAAAACATACATCCCACCCAAACACTCTGAATATAACTCTGACACAAGACCAACCATAATTTGCTCATTTACTTGTTTGCCTCCTTCCCGAAGATCCCTGAAAGTGTCTTCTTTCTATCCCTGGCAGCTCCCACCATGCCTGCCAGATAGCAGGAAGTCCCTAAAAGTCTGCTGAATGATTTAATGAATAAAGTAGTGCATGGATTTATTTAACAGCAGAGATTTGTGTGTCAAGATACAGGCACAGAGCAAGATGTGGGATTTGATTTGTTTGCGGTGAACAGGGGTCAAGGAAGGGTCAGAGATGAGCATGTAAGGCTTCCGAGTACAAATGATGCCTGAATAAAGTATTCATAGAAAAGTGGAGAGAGCCCAGGCTGGTGTGGCTCAGTGGATTGGGTGCTGGCCTGCAAATCACAGGGTCGCTGGTTTGATTCCTAGTCAGGGCACATGCCTCAGTTGTGGGCCAGTCCCCCAGTGGGGGGCCCCGCAAGAGACAATCACACACTGATGTTTCTCTTCCTCCTTCCTTCTTTCTCTAGAAATATATAAATAAATAAAATATTTTTTTAAGTAGGGAGAGAGATGGGGCAGTGACACCATCATTTAAAAGATCCTCTAGGTGATTCCAGGGCTCACTCCCTTTAATTTACAATATATATACATTTCCCCCCTATACATTTATTTCTAAACAAATTAACTTTTTTGTATTTTACTTAATTATTCTTACAGAGAAAGAAAGGGATAGAAACATCGATGTGTGAGAGAGACATTGATTGGTTGCCCCTTGCATATTCCCCAGCAGGGGACCTGGCCCACAACCCAGGCAGGTGCCCTGACCAGGAACCAAACCGATGACCCTTTGCTTTGCAAGTGACACCCAACCAACTGAGCCACACCGGTCAGGGTTGAACAAATTAATATTCAATACAAATCCCAGACATAAAAAGTAAAAAAAAATCCCACAAAGGTAACACTTTCCAGAAAGATGTAGGATGTGGATGCGCAACAGACTGAACTAGGAATGGGAAGGCCCCATTCACAGATGAAGCCACTGAGGCTCAGAGGCAAAGCTCACTCAGAAGACAGCGATGGAACTTACCCATGGCCAACCCACCCCTCCTGTAGCCCAGAGACACAATCCTGCCACCGTTGCACAAATCTTTGTTATATCCTTGCTCTGCAGCAGAGGCAGCCTCTGGTGAGATGTGCTCCACAGAGGGTGGGAACAGTGCCAGGCCCGCCTGCTGAGGGGCTCCGGGGCACCTTGCTGGGACCCATCTGATGGGCCAAGTTGAGTGTTGTGTCTAGAAGAGAAGGAACAAAGAAAGGCCTTGAGGATGTGCCTGGCCATGCTGACCCCCTGCCTTTTTTTCTTTTCTGGCCCACCTTCATTGGCTGCATCTAGCCATGCTTTATGTGGCCCTGGAATCATGCTCTAGACACTTTCAGAAGACAGGGAACAGAAAAACAGAAGAGAGAGGTTTGGGTTTTGTTACCGCTTTATTGAGATATAAGTCCCATATAACATGCGGTGGTTTTTAGTTTAATCAGTAACTATCTGATATGTGAATATCAGAATGTGTGATAATCAATAATTGTCTAATTGCAGAACGTTTTCATCATCCTCTAAAGAAATTCCTTATTCTTTAACAGCCACACACACACCCATTCCTAGCCCCCTCTCCCCCAGCCCCTGGCAACCACTTAATCTACTTTCTGTTCCTACGGATTTGTGTGTTCTGGACGGTTCATACACATGGAATCGTGTAATGTGTGTCCATTCGTATCCACCTGCCTTCTTTCATTAAACATAATATTTCAAGGCTCATCTATGCTGTAGGTAGCAGGAGCTATTTCACAAATGGACAGGTTGATTGGCGATGGTTAACTTCATTCATTCCAAATATTCACTGAGCCAGCCCTGGCTGAGCCCAGCCACAGACCCGGTCCTGGAGGGTTTCTACTGGGGGAGACAGACAATAAGCCAATAAAAAAGAAAATGATTTAGAATATTAGATGATGGCAGGCGCTAAAGTAAGGTGTAAGGCTAAAAGAAGGGTGAAGAGAGAGAATGTGACTGAATAGAAAGGACAGCAAAGGCCTCCCTCTAGGGTGAACGCAGGGGACTTTCCGGCTAAGACTGAAATCAGGTGAGAGAGCGAAGATGCCATCGCCACGTTCGCTTCCCAGCACTCGCTCCCGCACAATTATCCGTTCCCTGGGGTCGGGGCCGGGACCTGTCCTGTCTCGTCCACGCCGTGTCCCCGCGCTTGGCACAGTGGGTGCCACAGAGCAGGCCGTGTGACTGTGGCCGCCCGGGGGCCGCGGGCCGAGCCGGGACCAGCCCCACAGCCCCGCGCACGCCGCCCGCCCCGGGCGCTGGCCCCGCCTCGGCGCCGCCTGAACCCACCTCCTCTCGGCCGCCGCCATTGGCCGCGCGCGCCTCCGCCCTCGGCCTTGCACTTCCTGGCGGAGCCATGGCTGCGCACCGGTTCGGCTCCGGGGCTCCTGCGCTCGCGCCCCGCGGCCCCGCCAGTCCGGCCCCGCCGCCGGGGGTCTCGGCGCCGCGCCCGTAGCGCGCCTCCCAGGTGGGCCTCCGCCAACGCGCCTCCGGCTCGGGACCCACCGGGCGCCGCGCGCCGTCGGGGGGCGGGGGGCGGGCCTGCCTGGGGACGACCCCGGCCGCTGCGAGTGCGACCCCCGCCCGGCCCACCCGCCGCCTCCCTTTGTGCTGGGGGAGGGTGTGCGGCGGCGCGGGGGGAGCCGGGGGAGGGGCGCCGCCGCCCCCGTAGGCGGGACAGGTGCGGCCTGTGCGGCGGCCCTCGCGGCCCAGGTGAGTGTCCCCGCGTCCCGCCGCGGGCGCCGGCCCGGGTTGCGTCCCGACTCCGCCTTCTCCGCCTCCTCGTAGCCGGCTCGAGCCTGCCTGGGCGGCCGTTGTGCCGGCGGTTCCGCCAGGGGGTGCCGGGTCCGAACGAGCCGCAGCCGCGTCCCCGGAGACTCTGCCGGTGACGGGTGAGTGCTGGCGGGCAGCCGCGTCCATCTCCCCAACGTTGTGTTTACCCGAGCGCTGAGGTCGAGCAGGGTCGGGGTCGAAACCCGGGTAAGAAACATTAGAGAAGAGGTTCCCTGGGGGCCCGCCCGTCCGGACGTGCCCTGTGTTCCCGTGTTTACGAGAAGATCTTTTATGCATAACTGGGGATCGTCGCTGGTCGTGTGGGTGGCCTTGATCCCCCTAGTCTGCTTTCAGGAAGCACGAAGGCAGCGGGCACCCAACACTTGTAGAAATCGGCCCCAACCCACTCGCCCGGAGACAAAAGGGAACCTACACAAGGGGAAACTCTCTCTAGAAATCTTGGCCTAGAAAAGAAAGCTTTTAGCACTCAGGGCGATTGGAGCCTTGGCTGTCTGCCTGGAGTGGTGGAGAGAGAGACCTGCAGCTTTCTGTGGTCTGACCTTGGGTGAGCCCCTCCTCCACCGGAGCCTAGGTGTCAGAAATGATGGGGCCAGCTGCCTTGGAGGGTGAAGGTGAGTCAAGGAAGTCAGGGGCGAATGTGGTTTCCTTCCCTTCTCTCTCTGAGCCCCCAAGCTGCTGAGGGGTCTGTCAGAAAAGAAAGGGGTGGCCATAGCTGGCCATTGTGTTCTAAAGTGGCTAATTCTTCAGAAGTCTAATCTCTTCCTTCCCCCGTGCAGTTGGACAGCATGGACTGTACCCGAAGTTACTCTTTGGGGAACACTAGGCCCCGGTGTGTCCGCAATTATCTTGAAACAATGGTGACTTTTTGTTACATTTTTTTTATTAGCAAAGGCCGTTTGTTCAGGTGGTAACAAATGGACTCTTCTCAACCTAGATAGCAGGGGAAGAAATCCTCTTTAAACCCTCAGTCCCAGTATGTAGCTTGTGCCTGCTGCACTGCTGGCCTAGCCCTACCTCTGTGTGCCCCACCTTACCCCAAAGTCCCCCAAAGCCTGGCTCTATGCTGTCAGCGAGTTGCTTGGCATTGCAAAGCTTGCAGAAACCTTAATGTCACCTGGCACACCAGCCCATTTCATAGACATGACCGTGAGGACGAGAGAGGTTAATACGCTTGTTTATCCTGAATGTTCCAGGCAGGGCAAAGGCCCCAGAAGGTTTCCTGCCTACAAGCTTGCATGTGTTTTTTTCTTTCTTCCTTCCCTTCCTTCCTTCCTTCCCCTCCCTCCCTCCCTTCCTTTTCCTTTCCCGTCCCTTCTTTTCTTTCTATTTTTTATGGCCAGGTGGAATAGCCTAGTGGTTAAGTGTATGGAAGCCATGCTGGGTTGGAATCCCAAGTCTTCCAGCTCCTTCCTGTGTGATGCTATCTGGTTACTTCCTCTCTCTGCTCTCAGTTTCCTCCTGCACAAACTGAGAGAAGTAATAGTGCTGGCCTCATGGGGTTATCGTAGGGATTCAGTACCCTACACTCTTAAGTGCTTAAGAAAGCACTTAAACCAGTACCTATGTCAAGAACATGTTTTACCCATCATCACTGCACCATGTCCTTAACTTCATCGTATTTTAGAAGTATGACTCTCAAGACTGGGTCACATTCGGCAGAGCATCACTAAGAAGGGCCCAGGTTTGGTTCCCAGCTGTTTACTAGCTATGTGACCTTTAACTCAGTAACCTCATCTGTAAAATGGAACACGTGACATCAGCCTGGCCAAATAGTTGTGGGGGTTAAATGAGACAGCACATGTAAATAAATCCCACAGCTTGGTTCCAGGGTCATTGTCTGGGCCCTGAAATGATAACTCTCGTCATTATAGCCTTGGTCTAGCCAAAGGCCTCTGTGAGATCAGGCATCAGAAGGTAGGTATTTGTAGGAGGTAGTTTAGCTAAAGACATGGTTTTGTTGGATTTTAGATGCCAAAGGAAGCCTTGTTAAATGTTCTAATTCTAATAACCTGATATTTTCAACTCACGGCCCCAGAGTTGCTTTGTATTGATGGTGCGCTGCTTCCTTGCCCTGTGTCTTCCATGTGACTGCTTCCACCCTCGTCGTTGCTATTGTCCAGCAGAGCTCGCAATTAATGAATGACCTAGAGTCCTAACTGTCACTGTGTGCTCAGAAATCCTGTTCTTGTTGTAGGACTGTCCTCTTTTATGATGGAGGGAAGCCGGCAGACAAGAGTGTCTCGACCCTACAAGATCAGCGAGTCTTCAAAGGTCTGTGGATGGTCGCTCGCCACCTGTGCAGAGTGCCTAGGAAGTGGGACGTTTTTCTGATGAGCTCATTTTGAACCGATGGGCTGGTTTTTTGTTCTTGGTGGTGGCGGTAATCTCCTTAGAGGCAGCACAGGCCAGGAGTGTAGGAACCTTAAAATCAGAGAGCTGGTTGTGTGAGGGATATTAGAGACATGACTCGTTTATTCTGCACCTCACCCCTGAGGTAGGTGGGACAGGATAAACGCTGTGGGATTGCCATTCCCCTCTGGGGGCTCGAGCTCCAAGGACAAGTCCATTGAGAAGCCAGTGCTGACCTTACAGCACAGGGCAGAACGTTGCATACGTTAAGGGCCCAGGATCTTCCCCCCTGGTGACTTTCTGAGTTCCCAGGAGTGCACGAGGGTGGCTTCCCAGGGCTGGGCTACCAACCTGTGTTACACTGGCTGCGTCAAAATCACGCTGGGAGAAGGTGAGGGGGAAGATGTCTCACTAGGTATGCGTATTTGCCACCCCCCCCCCCCCAGACCTGCTCAACTAAAGTCTGAGAGCTGAGCCTGGGAATCTACACCTTCAACAAACTCCTGCAGGGCCTGGCAGCAGCCCCGCCCCACAGCTGCTCTACTAGAGCAGGGGTTGTGGGACCAGTCTTCTGAACGGTTCTCCGTTACACCTGCCTCTTTATACTTACCAGTAACACCACCTTTCCCTCTTTTGGAGACTAAATTTTATGGTTATCTTAGATCAGCATTTTCAGGGAGACCAGTATTTTCCCCAAGGGAGTGGAATTGGTTCTTGGGATATGGAAAGAATTTTACCTGTTATGACTAAAGCACAGCTATGCATATAGTTACATGCATAGGTAATCAGAATATGTGTGATGTTAATAATTCATGGGGGCTATTAGAAAAAAATACCTTAAAAGACTGAAAAAGAAGGTTGAGAAAGAACCCATTAGATAAAGGGAGTTGTGAGCAGACTATAGATTTAAGAGAAAATGAGAGAAAGAGGTTCCACAGATGTGCATAAAAGAAAAACAGGGTGTAATTTTCAGAAGAGGCTGGTTCTCTGGAGAAACAGTCTCCTGTTTCCATTCGCGCTTACCGAGAAGGCTCTGCCAAGCCTGGCTTTATCTGCTGTGAAAACCAGGAAGGTCTCCCCGCGGTCTCAAAGGGGCTTTGTTCCAGGGCTTGGCTGAGCAGACAGCGCAGCTTTCTAAGTTTGATAGCACTGGAAATCTTTGTTCCTGAAAGCCAGATTCTGAATTGCTTTCTTTCTGAATTGAAGCTTTTAGAAGTAGGGTTCTCTTGGTTGATTGTACTTACGTTCCTAACTGTAAGTGTACCTTGATTTTCTAGCCATCAACACACTCATGTAGCCTGTACCCAGAATAAAAATAAAAGTTAAAATAAAAAATAATAATAATCGCCATGCCCTTCCAGTCTATACATTGCCATTCTCCCAACTTCCAACACTGCAGGTTTGCCCGCCCTTGAACTTTGTGTAAGTGAGTCAGGAGGTAGGTGCTCCTGTGTGCCTGGCTCCTTTCACTCAGCGTTATGATCTGAGATTTGCCCCAGTTGCTGTGGTAGATTGTCCCTTCTCCGTGCAGCAGAGTGTCCTATTGTGTGACCACCCGTTCATTTATCTGCTCTAAAAGGTGTCGATCCATTTCAATGCCGAGTGCTTTTTTTAATACGAAATCCCCATTCCTGCTGCATCTGTCCAGTGCTAGCTCCTGAGTATCTGTGTTTCTTCACCCACCTTGCCTTGCCTTCGATAAAGTCACTAATGTAGGAAATGAAGGGATAAACAAGGCTAATACCATCAGAGAATGTTGGGGGCTGGGGGCTCCGAAATTACGTGAAATGCTGCTGTAAAGGGGACATCTCTTATTGATGTTTCTTTAAAATTGGGGAATATTGGTCTGTTTTTTGAAAGTTCTCATCTCTGCAGCTACATTAAAATAATCAGAATCGGGCTGTCATCGAGACCCAGGTACAGAGTTAAATGTGCCTACTTAGCATGGAGACCCAGCTTTAGAAGCAGCGCTGCCCTTTTCCATGCCCTGGAGCAGATGGTTCCCCTCGGCAGCTGTCGTCCGGGCTTTCCCTGATCCCCAGCCCTTGGGGCTGTTTCTCTTTTTACACAGCAGCCTGGGGTCATGTGTATCCCCATTTAAGTGTGGAGCACCCCATCAGCTTAGAGACAACCAGGGGCACAGGGAGGGCAGACAGCCCGCCTGATGCCCCTCACTCCCTTCTCTCGGGACACCGAGCTTTCACTATTATAGGGCAGCCTGCTGCTGCGGTGCTTTTTAATTTCCTTTCTTCAGTCCACACCCGAGAGGGGCTCCAAGCCAGTGCGTGTTGGAGCTCAGGCCATTTCTGCTTAATTAGAAGCCAAAACCGGCTAACCTTGCTTTCTCTGCTACTAAGCAGAATAAATGGAGTTACCCCTATATGCAGCTTAGGAGAAACCATCCTGTAACAGAAGAGCAGTGGAGTCTGGCTCTCCAAACCTGGATGGGAAGGAAGCTTTAGGCAATATCCATCTGGTGTCCTCGTCAGAGTGTGAGGTCATTGTCCACTCCCGTAATGTAGACGGAGCAGTCGATGTTAGAATTAGCCAGATGAGGCAGAACCGCAGGGAAATAAAGGACCTCAACTGCACATGTGTTGGAAGCAGTGAGGAGCAGATTTGGAGGGGAAGAAAGAAATGAGACCCACTGCTCTAAGACACATGTGGACAAGGAACCTGTAAGAATTTGGCAACTTGTAAGCCAGTCACACAGCTGCTCACAACTCCTAAGCCCTCAGCCCACCTTCCTTTCTCCCACCATCTCCCCTCTTCACGCT